TTGTCTTAGCCTCCCCTGACACGAGGAAGTTAGAACAAAGCCTCCATGGGGATTATTTGGGTGAGGTGCGGAGCGCAGGAAAGGATTCTGCAAACATTGGTGATTGATTACCAAGGGCCGGTGATTCACAGAGACCAGCAATGGAATGGGCACAGGGAGGGCGGAGGCAGGCCCGGGACACCGTGGAGGCACAGGCCTATGGTCGGACAGGGTCTCAGGTGCAGGGGCGCCCAGTGCCAGGCGGAGGTCCCCGGAAGCCCAGCCAGGGTGGGTAAGGGGAGGGACCCGGGCCCGGGTCTTTTAACTGTGTTCTTCCCTCCCCCTTGTGAGAAAATTTCCAGTGAAGGTAGATCTCAGAGCCAGATGTGCCGAGCCCTGGGGCTGCCATAGCAGAGGCCGTCACACTAGGTGGTTCTGGCCACAGCGGGAAGTCTGCAATCCAGGCGGTACAAGCCATGCTCCCTCCGGAGGCACTGGGGGAGGGTCCTTCCTGCCTCCCCCAGCCCTGGTGGCTGCACGCTGCCCTTGGCATTCTTGTTCTTAGCTGCATCACCTCAGCCCCCGCCTCCGTGGTCACCTGCTGTCTCCCTGCGTGTCTGTGTTTCTCTTCTTACAGGGACACCAGTCATAGTGGATGAAGGGTCACCCTGCTCCCGTCTGACCTCGTCTCGACTTAAATCATTACACTCGCAATAACCCAATTCCAAATACGGCCACGCTCTGAGCTTCCGGGAAGGGTTATGAATCCGGGGAGGATGTATTCATTCTGGCACTCTTGGAAGTCACTTAGTGACAACGATCTGATTCACAGGCAAATCTGAAGCCCAAGAGCACAGGGGCTTGTCCGGCTCGGCTGGCAGGGGACCATCTTCCGCCCTTCCCCGGCTGTCCTCCTGGGACGCGGCTCAGAGCAGCGCTGAGGGTGCCAGCCGGGGGCACATCCGCGTCCCGGTGTCCGTGCGCTGCCAGAGCCTTGGCTTCCTGTTGGAGCCCATCCAGCGGCTCAAGAAAGGCCCATCCGGGTCTGAAAGGAGGGGCTGTCAAGGAGGGGCCTGGCGCCCCAGGCACATCTGCCTCCCGGCTCTTAGTTCTGTTTATTCCTGACTTATCTCTGTTCCTTTGGGTGTCCTGGTCATCGGCTAACTCATGGCTGGGAAGCTTCCTTGTCGTAACAGCACCTGGGGTTGATGCAATAGCTCAAACCCAGAGGCGCTCCGGGGCGAGGGGTGCTGTGGCCGGAACCGCCAGCTGTAGACTTTGGGCTAAACATTGGTTTCTCCAAAACACCCCGGGTTTGTCCCATGCGCCTGCTTGTAGCAGGACAGACAGTGACCCAGTGTTGGGAGCAGGAGACCCTAGGTCTTTGAGGGGCATCCTAGGGCTCCTGGCTTCTGTTCTGACTCACCAGGACCCTCTGTCCTCTCCCCCTCCCCCTCCAGAGTTGTGGGGAGACTCATCTGCACAGCTCCACTCCCCCGATTTGTCCTCCGAGTAAACCACGCCAAAGACGGGAGCCTCCAGGAAGGGTCTGGAGGTCTCTCTCCAGGAAGCAGGAGGAAACTCTGTGCAGGACACAGAGGGAGGTGCCCACACCCAAGGCAGCTGTGGAACGGTATGACAGCCGGTGGATAGGACTCTCCCCAGGGAGGTGTGTGATCCCAGGGGCGAACCCAAGCGCCCCGATTAACAGGACTGCGGGTCCACCCCTCCATCTGGCTCTCTGCTGGCTGGAGGAACCAGGAGGGACGGTGCTAGTGAGCTGAGAGGTAGCCCGGAGCATATAAGCCTGGGAGTCAACACGTTGACTCTGTGTTTGTGTGGGTTAGCAGTGCCTGTCTGGAGCACCCTGTGACCCTCACACATCTGGGGGCTCCCATTCACTCTCAAAACCCAGTTCAGATCGCTCTCCCAGGGAGAAGCTTCCGCAGTGTATCGCAATGCACGTGTCAAGGCTTACTCTCCCCCGTGGACTGTGGGCTGTGGGCTCTGAGGCCAGGGGTGCTGCCCGGGGTCCAGAGGCTCCAACGTTAGCAGGCCACGTACCTTGCCCTTGATCCACGGTCAGTCCACGCCCGTGACATATACATGCCAGTGGCCATGCACTCCGCAGGTGGGAAGGTTGCAGACCCAGCGCTCAGGGCCAGACGGCCTGCTTCTGGACCCGTCCAGGAGACCCTCACCTTCCCTGGGACACCAGCGCACAGGGCCCAGGGCAGGTAGGGGAGGGATGCCAGGACAGTGCAGGCAGAGATAAGGCTTCAGAGCAGGAGGAAGGAGAGAGATCCCAGCAGGTGCCAGGATGTGCTCACCCTGGGTTCAGGGACGCCCGCGGCAGCCACCTGTCAGGGTGTGGCTGGCGACCAGCTCTGGCCCTGGTTTTCGTTCACTCCTAGAAGTTGAACCACCCCCCTCCCCCCCGCCCCGAACAGGGAGGCTGGGGTAAGGCAGTGAGCCCACGAGCTCTGGAAGGCAGGGCGGGCTCTTTGGGTCCCATCTTCTGCCCCTGGGTCGAGGGTTCCCTAGCACCGAGGAAAGGAACACACAGGAATTCCCTCCCCACAAACATTTACCCGACGCTCCAGTGCCCCTGTGCCAGTTCAAGCTCACTGTCCTCTCACCCAGCTGTGCTCTTGCTGCACGCCCCCGCCCCCCGCCCCGGCCAGACCACAGTTGCCCTTGTATCACATCTGGGGTCCACGAGCCCAGACCCCCGGCCTCTGCACCTGCCGTGCCACACCTGCTGATCACCGTGTGTCCCCAGGTGCCTGGCTTAGCTCTGCATTACCTAAGTGTGCAGCCCTGTGGATGAGGTGCTACGAGACAGGCTGGGAAACCGAGGCACAAGTGGTAAAGTGACTCAGGACCAAATGTCTCACCCTCCCATCATAACTACCACATGGCCCGGTCTCCCCACGGAGGACTCTTCAAGGACAGGGATTTGTCACTCATCCCAAGCCCCAGGCTCTGTCCACGTGAACTGAGTTAGACTGAAAGCAAAACACCAGCTGTTTTTTGGCGGTGGTGGTGGTTCTGGGCACTGGCTGCAATCTGAGGGGTCTTCCCGAGCTGGGGGGAGGCAGGGGACCAGCTCCGACATGGCTCCAGCTCCCCCGGTGATTCTAAGTGCAGTCGGGTGGAGGCCAAGGCGCTCTGACAGTTCAAATAGGTGTTCCCTCTAAGCCCGTTTCTGGGGTGTTTGTATCTTCCTGGAACCTGGCTCAGCTCCACGATGACGCCGGGCCTGGGGGTACTGTGGGGGCAGGAAGGCAGCGGTCTGGCCAGAAAAGGCTCCCGGGGATTTTCTCTATGATGACCATTATTGTAAATATTTATTTATTATTTTGAGAGAGAGAGAGAGAGAGAGAGAGACAGAGTGCAAGCAGGGGAGGGGCAGAAACGGAGCGGAATCCCAAGCAGGCTCCAGGCTCTGAGCGGTCAGCACAGGGCCCAACATTGGGTTTGAACCCATGAACTGTGAGATCGTGGCCTGAGCCGAAGTCGGATGCTTAACCGACTGAGCCACCCGGGCGGGCGCCCCATATGATGATATTTAATAACAAAGACCATGCCATCTGTTAGCTTGGGTGCACGCTCGCCTTCTGGGAACAAAGCAAGCTCTGAAAACAACACAGACTTTGCTCTGTCTTCAGCCTGCCCTTGTCTTGGAAGGAACGGGAAACCAGACGGTGAGCCTCGCCTCGGGTCCGTTTCTCATGGGCTTGCTGCACAAGGTGGACCCCAGGCCTGTGCCAGCGTGTGCACGGTCAGGCCCCGTCAGTCACCGGGTGGAGAACAGCTCTGTGCACAAACTCAGGGGTGGCCCAGGTCTCCCTCCGACCCCACCCCCCTACCTCGGGGGCTGAGGCGACCAGCCAGGTGCACCTGCTCCGGGTCCAAGACAGCTCCCTGAATCCCAGGTCTACGAGAGTAACCCCTGACAGGCACCTTACATTGTGAGCCATAGTTCATTCCTCCGGAAAATGGGTATATTTTTTCCCCACCTTGTTTTGATAGGCTATTATAAAATAATCTCCTTTATTTAAAAAAAAAAAAAGCAAGCTGAGCAAAGGTATCCAGTAAGTTCTCATTTGGCTTAAAAATGTGCTTAGATCTAGAGAGAGCATTTCTGGAAAAATACCTAAGAAAGTGTTAAACCGATACCTCTAGACAGGAGAGGGCTTTTTTGTATCGTGTGATTTTTATTTATTTATTTTTAGTTTATTTCCTTAGAGACAGAGAGAGAGGGGGACAGGGAAGGAACAGAGAGACAGGGGAGGGGCACAGAGAAGGGGGGAGGGAGAGAATCCCGAGCAGGCTCTGTGCTATCAGCACAGAACCCGCCACCGGGTTCGACCTTAGGAACCGTGAGATCGAGACCTGAGCCCAGATCAAAGAGTCTGACGCTTAACCGACTGAACCACCAGGTGCCCCTGCACGGTCTGATTTTTCAAACTTACTGCGCTCATTCTGTTTTTATCAAAAGATTACAGTTGATTACATTAAATGTTATCACGATAGCGAATTCGTTTATTTAACACATTTATTAAAGTGTAGTTAATGGTAGAAATAAGTCTTACCGGAAACAATACAAAAAGAAAGGGTGGGAATTTCAAGAGTTTCGAAGGAGAGACGAGACCCGTGCGCACAGTGCTGACTCGCTGACTTTTCAAGCACCTGAGGGTCTGGGATTAAATGTGGCCTGGGCGCTGTGGCCACGGAGGTGCCGAGCCTTCACCCTGGCCTCCAGGCCGGGCTAATCCCGGCTCATCCCGGCTCCCGGTAGAGGACTGTAACCCGGAGACTGGAGCCTGACCTCCAGGCTTGCTTGCTGCCACAGTGGTGGGGTGGACTTGCTGTCTCCCCCGCAGGAAGACGGGCCGCTGGGGGACTTCACAGTCCCGTGCAGGCAGCAGCCGGAGCCAGAGGGAAGGGCCGTCCCCAAACAAACAGAAGGCAGAGCCCTTGTACAAACACAGGGGTATAAATGAGTCTGCTCGGCCGACGCGGCACGTCCTCTGAGCGGTCGGGTCCCCAGAGCCCGCCCGTGACCATGGAGGCCAGAGTGCTCTGGCTGCTGGCATTGGTCCTGGCCTTGGGGTCCTCCAGCTTGGCTGACGAGTATGTGGGCCTGTGTGAGTACCGTTCTGACTTCGCTCTGTAGGAAGGAGGGGCCAGGAGGTGGCGGGGGGCGGGGGACATAGGAGGAGGAGAAGGGACGCTAGGTCCAGGCAGGCTCGGGGGGGGGGGTGTGTGGGGGGGGGCTTTCTGGGGGCTAGAGGAAAGTGATCAAGCCCCCACATTGATTTATAATTGCCATTTAGCAGACACACATGTTCCTTCCCAACAGCCCTACAAACTGGGTCTTGCTGTTTACAGACGAGGTAGCTGAGGCTCAGAAAGTTAGTAACTGGCTGCAGGCACCCCCTCCCCGCCAGTGTTGAAACCGGGATTAGAACCCAGGTCTGCCTGGCCGGCCGGCCACCCCACCGCCTTCTTGGCTGCAGTGTCTGAGCGACAGTGTAGGTCTTCACGCACTGTTCTGGAGCACTTGCAAGGCAGAAAGGAAAGACTGACGAACACGGATCCCTGAAGAGCGTTTTCAGCACACGGTTTTCACCTGGCCGTGGCGTTGTCCCTGCAGGTGGGGGGAGGGCGGCTGTCCCACCCACCCAGCTTTGAAGAAATTAGGGCGTGGCTATTATCAGGGGCCAAAGGCAGTGGTTCCCAAACGTGGTGCCTGTCAGAGTCACCAGGACAGCTTTGCGACCCCTACAGCCCAGGAGGTGCCCTTCATGCCACGGTGCCTCTGGGATCCCAGTGTGAGCAAATCTGGCTGGGGAAACCAGCGGGTTGAGGCATTACCGCCTGGCACAATAGAGTGGGATTTTAGACACTTCACGTGGTTCTGTTTTCCTAAGGAAAATCCCACTAGGCAATGAGGCCGACTTGGCGGAACTTGAATTTTTTTTTAATGTTTATGTATTTTTGAAGGAGAGAGAGTGTACAAGTGGGGGGAGGGGCAGAGAGCGAGGGAGGCACAGAATCCGTAGCAGCTCCAGGCTCTGGGCTGTCGGCACAGAGCCCGACACGGGGCTCGAACCTGTGAACTACGAGATTGTCCCCTGAGCTGAAGTCGGACGCTTAACCAACCGAGCCACCCAGGCGTCCCAGATTTTGCAGAACTTTAGACACTGTAGGCTTGCTTCAACGAGTATTGAGGACAGGAGGATGTCCCAGGAGGACGCCGTGACCAGCCAAGTGCCTGGGGGACAGGGCGACACAGGAAAGAAATGGAAAATAGTACGCGCTGTGGTTTTCTGTACTGAACGTGCATCTCCTCTTACACTATTCCTTTTTTTTAAGGGGGCAGTTTGTGTTGATAACACAGTGAAGGGGAATTTGTTTCGGGGTTCAGGAGCCCCCAGATTCCCACGGGCTCCTGCCAGCCGGAGGGACCCGAGGCCATGGACTTCCCGACAAGGCTCCAGGGGCACACGAGGGAGGGGGGCGCCCTGGCAGAGGCCAGAGCCCCCACAGAGCATACAGAAGTGTGCGTGGGAGGAGGGTGCTCCTCGAGCCGATGCTGGGGTGCGGGTGGGGTCACGTGCTTCGAACCCAGAGGCTGGGGGCGGTTGCAAACTTGCCAAATGAAGGCAGCAGCCAACACCCCGGGCCGGCAAGGGCTCCGGCCGCTGACCGGGCTTTGTTTGGGACAGCGGAGAACCTGTGTGCCGTGCCGGCCAAGAACAGGGTGGACTGTGGCTACCCCGAGATCAGCCCCGAGCAGTGTGTCAACAGGGACTGCTGCTTTGACCCCAGCATCCCCGAGGTGCCTTGGTGCTTCAAGCCTCTGCAGGACACAGGTGAGAGGCCCCGCGAGACCCGTGTCCCTCCCGGGCCCCCCCGGGAAGCCTCCAGATCCCCAGGAAGCCACGCGCACCCGGGCGGGACGGCCAGCACCGTGACTGTCCATCGGGGAGGGGGCCTCAGCCAGAGGCGTCGTGCACAGGGAGGTCAGCTGCCAGGGGCCGTCCCCTGCCGTCCCTTTGCTCGGCGGTTTGTGCGAACTATGAAAGCAGTCGTTTCAAAAAGGTGCTCAAAGTCAAGGCACTGTGTCCAGGGAACTAGTTTAAAAACCATCCTGGAGAGAAGTGGAAAACACACGGGTTTGGGAAGTTGGGCCGACATTCGAGGCCTCGCTCGGCAAACAAAGCATCGTCATCTGTGACGCGCTCCCGGCAGACGGCAGATGGTGGCAGCACCCGGCACGGAGCCCTGGCGCCTGTCCACGCCCCGCGACCTTCCCCGCCCTGCCCCCACCACGATGCACCCCTCCCTCCCTCGGTGTGCAGCGGGGTGCGGGACGGCCGCCCTGGGGAACCCCACGTCGGCCGCGAGCAGGTGTCTGTGCACATGGGTGGTTCGTAGCCCGGCTCCCCGGTCCCACCTCGAATCTTGGGCGTGAGGTCTGCTGTGAGCCCCCTGGAAGTCCAAGGGCCAGCTCATCTTCTGAGAAGGGCACGGGCTCCACCTTCCTGGCGCCAGCACTCGCCCTGTGTCCCCGCCCACCCCGTAAGCGGGGAGTGGGGCCGCAAGCCAGCCTCCTGAGCAATGATGGGGCCCTGCCCACGGCCCTGGGGCTCCCTGCCCCTTCCTGGCAAATCAGGGCAGAGGCCCAGATACAGCTCTGGGACCAGGAGGGAGCTGCCTGTTGCCTCTCTGCTGGCTGTTGCCCTACTTTGCGGCCCCTCAGTGGGGGCAGTGGGGGGGGGGGCTACACCCTTTCCTTTGGGTGCTGGTGGGGGCCTTGAGATGATGCCATCTCATATCATCTGCCTGAACCCCTTGTTCAGGGGGGACACGTGCTATTCTCCATGAGGCCGGACCCTCAACACTTCTCCAGGGACTGGGGGAGAATGCAGCCCAAGGCGCTGACCTTGGAGGCTGTCTTGACCTTGAGAAGCGGGGCACCTGGTGGGTGGAGCCAAGGTTGGTGGTGGTGATGCACGTCTGCGCTTTGTTTCCAGAATGCACATTTTGAAGCGACGCCCACCGGCCCCGGACACCCTGGAATGAGATCTGTGCTCCGGGGGACCCTGCCTGCGTCCTCGGGGGGGCCGGCCGAGGCCGCTCCTCCCTGCTTTTCTCCCAACCTGCTCCTGGCAAGCCCTTCCGCTGAAAGCTGATGCCTGGGGCCTGATGGCTTAACGAATAAAGATCCTGTGCTCAGCACGAGGGCTGCGCCTCATTCCCGAGACTCCTCCCGTGCTGTTGAGTTTTATTTCTGCCAAGTGCATTTCCTTTCTCAGCCTCTCCCGGACGACGGCGGGGGGTGGGGGGTGGCAGGAGGGTGTGATGGCATCTCCGGCCCGGGGCCTCCCCAGGCCCCGAAAGGCGACCCCTAAGGAGACGCCCCTTGCGTGAGGATGTCACAGGCCCCAGGCCAAGCCCTGACACGACAGGGAGCCCGAGCGGCCTTCTCAGCGGCCACCACCTCGTGTAAATTCAGAAAAGACATTGCAAATGTAAGTTTCAAAACAAACAAACGAGCAAAGATCATTAGTGTCTTTCTTGGGGAAGAGAGCAAGCCAATAAAGCCATGTTCCAAACTGGCACTTTTCTGTCCTTATTTGCAGGTCAAGTTTAACACCTGTGACACCTCGGGCGGCTTCCTTTTTCCGTTTTCTTCTGAAAATGGCTGCAGCTCTGTAAGGGAGCGAGTCTCATCATGACGATCCCGTCCCAAGTCCTCACGGGGTCCTAATGACGCCTAGACGCAGAGCACCCCACCTGCCCCCTCTCCTCCTGGGACAGGTGGCTCCCCGCGGACTGTCCCCCCCATCCCCCCCGCGAGGCGGTTTCCAAGGTGAAAGCCAAGCGCGCAGCTCGGGGAGATGGGCCTCCTGGTCCGAGCCACCCTCCCACTGGAGAAGAGACCCCGGTTTCCATCAAAACAACAAGCTTTGTTTCTGGGCCGTTGGGGCCAGGCCCCCAGAGCTGACTCTATCCCTGGAAGGGACATACGGTTGCCCTTGTCTTACAGATAAGGAAACATTAGGAGAAAGACTTAAAAAGACCCAGCCAGTGGCTTCTGCTGAGAGGGGACTACGTCAGGACGCCCAGGCCCCTGAAACCAAAGCTCTGTGTGTTCCTCGTAAAGCCCAGCAGCTACTCCCGCCAGGCCGAGGGAGGGAACCTTTCCAGAAGCATCTCCGACCAAGCAGCACGTGCAAAGTGCAGCTTCCTCTCCTGGGGACGCTGCTGCCCAGAGCTGTTCTCGCCCGGACACGCCCCTGGTTCTGCCTTTGTGTCCCTTTCCCCTCACAGACCGAGCCCGGCCTTTGAGGCCAGGCCAGATCTTAGCTGGAGGGGCTCAGGGGTCACCCCGGGCCCTGGGCCTTGGCCTCAGGCCCCGGCCCCGGCCCCGGCCAGCCAGGCAGAGAAGCTGCTCACTTCCATCAGTGCCGGGCGGACGCCCAACAGCAAGAGCAAAGTGGGTTGTTAGGTGGGCGGGGTCTCCAGGTCAGAGATTCGGGCGCTAACCCAAGGTTCAAGATTCTTCCTCCCTCCAGCCTGTGTCAAAAACGAAGTGAACAAGCAAAACCTATAGCTCACCTGTCCCCACAAACCTCTGGGCCAAAAAGGCCACAGACATCTGGGGACCCTGCCAGGCCACTTAAAAAAAAAAAAAAAAAAAGACTCCACTAAAAATATCATTTATCTTGATCGCTGAGTTTTAGGGCAACCTTCCAATTTTGTGCCTCTCCCGTTCTGAGCCCATGGAGGCCATGATATTCTCATGCACAAGTTCACAGAGCACCAGCAACCGGCCAGACCGCCGACCGCCTTGGAGGGAGATACCCCCAGCCGCCTCTCACTCCATCCACCTGGTCCGAGCCCCCAGGGCCCACCGGCTCCCTCTTCAGGTCACCAAGAGTACTGCGGCTTCCTACCCATCGCGGCTGCCACCCTACCTTTCTCCCCTTCTAGAAAAGATGTATTAAGATCCTCGATCTCTCCGCTACACCCACCTCCTGCCGGCACCTCTTGAGCAAAACCCCATTTCCTTGAACACCCTCAAAACTGCATAATGCACGCCTAAGTCCTATAGTTAATCCTTCCTAACACCTTCTTACTGAGATGCCCCATAATGTGCTGTGTTCCTGTGGTTTTGCGCAGGAGGACGTCGTCAAGACACAGGCTGAAGGCTTGGTGGGGTGACAGGGGCGTAGGGACACATGGTCTCAACCTGTGGTCCTCAGTGGGGCCTTCACGGCCGTAGGGGATGTTTGGAGATCTGTGGGCCTGTCTCTTAGTGCCATATGAATGGGGGGAGGGGCTGCTGGCATCGAGTGGGCACAAAGCCAGATATGGGGGGTCTGCAGTGTGCTGGGGGGTACTGTGGACGGCCAGTGTCCTGTTGGACGCTCAGGCAGCCACAGACCTGTTTGTAATGGTTGGAGACTAGAAGTAGGTTAAAATCCTAACACAGGGGCGTGTTGGGGGCTCAGCCGGTCAAGCGTCTGACTCTTGATCTCTGCTCAGATCATGACCTCACGGTTTAGAGGTTCAAGCCCCATATCGGGCTCTGCGCTGACAGTGTGGAGCCTGCTTGGGATTCTCTCGCTCCCTCTCTCTCTGCCCCTCCCCCACTCACTCTGTCTCTCTCAAAATGAAAATAATAATAATAATAATAATAATAATAAATGAAATGAATAGGGGTGCCTGGGTGGCTCAGTCCGTTAAGCATCCAACTCTTAGTTTCAGCCCGGGTCATGATCTCACGGTCTATGAGTTCGAGCCCCACGTCAGGCTCTGCGCTGAGAGCACAGAGCCTGCCTGAGATTCTCTCTCTCCCTCTCCCCCTGCCCCTCCTCTGCTCTCTCTTTCTCTCAAAATAAAGTAACTTAGAAGTATTTTTTTAAGTCAATAAATGAAATAAAATAAAATCCTAAAAGCAAAGTTGTTGTCAAGTTTGGATATACCAGATTTCCCAGGAACGCAAGGGAAGCCTTCTGCGTAGTTCGGAGCTTTGGCCGAGTGGGTCATTCCCGACATGCCATCACCAGGGACAGTGCCCCACGTGCCTTGTGACTTGTCCACCCTGGGGCTGCCTGCATCCCCGATGCCTCGATGCCTTGCATCACTCGTAACAAGGGGGGGGGGATTGGTGCAGGGGCGAGCCCCCGCCCTCACCTCTGTCTCCTCCTCCAGCTCCGGCACGCACAGCTACGCAAACATGTAGCATTATCGCCCCATCATTATTTTCCCTTTACTTCTCATTTTTTCTAGGGCAGGCTGCATGTTTATTTCTTTTAAACTCTGTGTGTAGGCAGGTTATTAAGTTATTAAGTATAAAATTACTAGGTATAACTTCAGTTCAGGAGATCAAAAGGGGTCTTATGAAATCCTTGCTGTAAAGAAGGGGGCTGTGCTGGGATGAGACTCCCCACCTCCTAGGGAGGCCTCTTGCCGCTTCTTGCCGGGGTCCCCAGCAAGACAGCCCCAGGAGACCCCTGCCTCCCCCGCCTCTCTTCATTCCCGTATTTTCAATCTGAAACCTGGGTCATGGCTTTTGAACTTAAAAAACCCCAAAGGCTGACATATGTGTTCTCTGGTTCCCCAGGACAACCTCCCTAAAGCCCCCTCCCCCTCGTCCCCAGTTCAGATGAGGGAGGGTCACCAGGCCCACAGAAGCGTGGATAACATGTCCTTGGCTCCCACCTGCCCGGTACCCTGTACCTTTACTTCCCATCCAGGGGCCGTGCTCCCTCTTTCCGAAACAATCCATTTTTCCCCAGTATCCCCGCAGCTATGGAGGCCGAGTGGGTAAAACCTGGGGTCGTGAACCCCCAGCTCATACTGCTGAGCCCAGCCCCGCCCAAAGCGCATTGCTGGGGCCCAGAAGCAGGCATCTGGGAAGGGGTGGGGGGTCTGTGCCCCTCCAGGGCTGTGATGGAGCCTGGTGAAAACCCTAAACCCCATGGTCTGTCTCTCGCTCACCCCCTGGTCCCTCCCTCTGTCCCCACTAAAGGATCAAGGGGTTCAGTTCCAACTCCAGGAGATCTTGGCTGACCTGACCTGCATGTCAAAGTGTGTGCCCTCGAGGCCCAGGACTCCTGCAGGAATGACTGACACCCCCTCACGGCCCCGTGTACAAACCCACCTCCAGTCTCCACCAATTAAGGGGAAGCTTTATCTTTGCCAAAATTTCAAAGTTCCTCCTTCTCCTCCTGTGCTTGAGCCTAACCCAGTTGTGGCCCATGCCTCCACCTCCCACCCCTGGAGATCTCCTCTGTGCTGGGGGAGAGAACAGATTGGAGGGGAGGACGGTCTCAGGGAAGCACTTGGTGCCCTCCCCCCCCCCCCACCCGGATGATGAAACAGCGGCCCAGCCTTCTTTAAGGCTCATTGTTGCCCCTGCTACGGTTCACATATTCCACTTCATTTAGCCCCACAGCAGCCCTGCGAGGTACAGATTATAAGTGAGCAAGTGGACGCACAGAGACGTTAGGCTGAGAGCCCAAGGTCACACAGCAGAGAGAGGGACCGGAGCCCAGAGTCTGGTTCCAGGGTTCACAGACACTCCCCCAGCAGCTCCAAGCTCTTTGAGTAGAGGAGAGGGGCTCCTTCTCAGTTCACGGCCAAGGCACTGGGTGGGGTAGTCCGTGGAGGAAAAGGGGGAAGAGGCAGATGGCTCCAGCAGTAGCAATGGCCGGATGGCTACTCTGCGTCCTGCCAGAGAGAGCTGGAGGCAGCCCCCCGACCTGCAGTCTGCCGAAGGGTCTTTGAGGGCATCCCAGTGTCCTGGGACCCCACCCAGGTGCACGCTAGCCCAAGGCAAGCTGGAGGGACAAGAGGAGCAGACATCTGGGGGACGTCTGCCGAAGCCACCCGCCCCAGCCACCTGGGACTCACTGAGCAGTGCCCCCAGGACAGACCGACAAGGACCCCGCCCCCTGGTGGAAGCCAGGACCCCGCAAGCCCCCCAGCTCACTGGGCTGGAGAACCCGGACCCAGTTTGCCCGCAAGCTCCCGGGTGGGGGCAACAGAGAAAAATCAGGTCGCTGTTTTGCACAAGGAGTTTGGGGGTGAAGGAGAGTTATGTGTTCGCTACACATCTTCTGTTGCTGCTCCAAGTCTGCAGCTGCCTCCCGCGTTCCCAGGAGCCGTGGGGAGGCCAGCCCGGGCAGGAGGAGGCGTCCGGACAGGGGCCTGGCTCCCCGAAGTGCTCCGTGTGTGCACAGGGCAGGGTGGCCTCTGTCGGCTGGGGTGTCTTTCCCCTTTGCCCCGGGTCTGACCGTCTCCAGGCGCCGCCTCACCGCGGCCGATGCCCAGAGAGGTTGTGGACGTGGACACTAGGCCGGACCGAGCACCTGGTGTGTGTCAGATGGCGACTGAGCACACGAGACCTGCAAACCCACTGAATGCTCCGGAACCAGCCGCGAGGCGGGGGGCGTCTCCACCTCCTTGGCAGAGGAGGAAACAGACACGGAGCCAGTTAGTAATTTGGTCGGGAGTTGGCAGCCAGCAAGGCCGGGCTGCGAGGACATCCCTACGGCAGGAGGCCGCCCGGGGCTCGGAGCCCTTCTAGAAGAGCGTGGTTGGATTACAG